TGTTGCAAATTTGCAGAGATGTCCCGCCATAGATCACACATGCTTCTGCATTATGAGGCGTCTTGTCGCACACCTGAACAAAGTAAAAGCCCTTAAAGTTGCCCCGTAGCCCCTTCGGGTTAATTACAGAACCGCTCCATGAGGATGAAGTTTGTATGCTCACATGTGTCCTACATGTTTCTGTGTCTGTCGGTTGTTTTCACTCCTCTGTGCTCATTATTGACCCTGGCCTGAGCTCTTTCATTAGAGGGGCTGTGAAGTGGAGGGACAAAGGAGGCTGATAGGGGATCAGGGGACGGGGCGGAGGTTGTAATTAGGCTGTTCCGCTCCCCCTGGCCTCGCTCAAGGTCACTCTGTGAAACAAACTGGGGGCCAGGTCTCTTACACTTTTCCATCTCTCTTTTAACCTCCTCACTTTTTCCTTTCCCTCCCTCTTTTCAGCCGTCTCCTCCTCCTGGGGTCTTTTGTCACAGCATACTGGTCCGGTGGGGAGCCGCAGAGAAGCGGAGGGGCTAATTCAGTCTAATCTTTTAGCCTGTTAATGTCTGGCTGATATGTGGATTTCTCCAGATCCTCAGGGGAAGGCCTTTGTGGTGAAGGCCATCATTATGAAGTTTCCAGGCCCTCCTAACCAATTATAAGAAGGGAGACAAATTAGTTCGTCCTAAACTTGGCTCCTAAGAAGTTTTCCTGATTGTTCTCAACTTTATTTCCCATCTCATTCATAAGAGACAATTCAAAGTGAAGCATTTTTTTTGTTGTTTTTTTTAAAGGCTTGACAATGCAGTTTTTTTAAGACTTGCAGATGGAACTCGATTTCATCCTGTGTCCTTCTGGATTGGGTTTCAGCTCGAAGCCATCTGAGCAAAGAACAATTGCGGTGCAGCTTTGCTTGTCTCGCTCTGGCCGCGGTGAGCTTGGTCTAACGTTTCCCTCCGATTAAGACGCAGTGGTGAAAGCTGCCTTTGATCTGAGGAAATGTCTGCGTTGGGAGTAGTTGGAATGCTGCATTCTTCAATCTGCCTCACAGACGAGCAAAATAATAAAGACGTTAACATCTATTTGTCTGGCACTGCCACTGTCAGTCAGCCCCAGGTCACACAATCTGGAATTTATAAGGAAAGCAGCATTGTCTTCAGCACTCTTAATGATTTCTGCATTATTAACTTTATACACTTTTTTGTCATAATGGCTCAGTGTAATTAAAATATTTTGCTGTAATAAATGTGAAGTCATTCAAGAGGAGTTTGTCACAATTAAACGTGTTGGAACAATGAATATTTGAATATACAGCAGCAAAGTACATGAATCAACAAGAGTCAACACCTTGAAAACAATGATCTGAGTTATATTTACTTGAGACGTTAGGGGGGAGTTGTGGCGCAGAGGTTAGAGAAGGTGAGCCTGTGATCAGAAGCTTACAGGTTCAACTCCCCAAACCGACAACATCAAAATGTGGGTGAGAAAGGTAAAGCATACACACCTGCCTCCACCCTCATTTGCCCTTCTCTGAGCCCTTGAGCAAGGCCTATAACTCCCCCGTCTGTTCCCCCAACCACCCTAGATGGCAACTCTATGCTTCACACAGAGGGCTGTGGTAGCTCGGTGATCTGTGGTTGGGTCAGGAAGGACATCTGGCGTAAAAACAATTGCCAAGACTTCGTGCAAGTTAGTTCACTGTGGCGACCCCTAAAAAGAAGGGAGCAGCCGAATACCGGTATATCTATGTATATATTTTTTACTTGAGATGGAATCGTACTGGAATCAACCTGTATGTTTGGATCTGTTCTGGTTTCAACTTCTGGGTTCTAGTCCGAGGTCTACATACTGTATATACAGCATATGGTTCGCAAGTTTAAACAAATAAGACAATTACAGCATTTAAAAAACACATTTTTTTGCCATTTCTAGCCAGATATGTAATT